CAATCCCAATCAATTATATTATGTGAATCTTACCCACTTCATTTCCTAGATCCTTCCCCGGGCAATTGTTAAGAGCGATAGTCTTCCTTGGGTCACCGTGAAACAATCCAAACTCTTGCTCTCATCTGCCTACAAGTTACCTTTTCTTTTCTTTTTTTTTCCTCTTCTCGATCAATTACAAGTTACTCTTGTTTATGCTCCATGTGATTATCGTCCAAATCACGTGGACACCGTAAACATCTAGTTTGTAGCTCAACAGCAAAGGACTCAAAGATTTGAATGAAATATCTGGAAGGATAGGTAGTTGTGATGTGTGATACGTACAAGTAGTACTACAATCTCCCTATGCGTCACGCCATTATTAAATGATTTGTGTCACAACACCAAACAATAGACGGTTTCAAGGGCAAATAATAGCCAATTGAAATGGATATCTTATTAAAACAATTTATTACGAAGACGACCATGTTTTTATTTTCTTAGGGAATATTCTCAGTACCAAATGCCAGAAGCACAAAAGAATTAGGATATTAAACAGAATATTTCCCACTAGTTTGTTTTTTTTTTTTCTCGATAAACAATTATTGTCGATTATTCTTTTTATGCCTCAGGATTCTATGTGTTTACCCCAATGGCCCATCCGTATTAAGCTGGAACCACCAATAGGCCATCCTAATTGAAGCTCGATTCTGGTTAAGTCCAAACAATAAACAATTGACTCAACATTTAACCCCAATTTAATCCACAATCGACTTGCAACCCGAACTCTTTGATCCTACTAGGATTTTTGAACTTATGTTCAACGACTATAGTTGAAATTAGTTCAATTATCAAGTTTAAATTAGAATTCAATTCTAAGATTGTGCAATTCGGACCCAAATTTATATTCAACTCAGGTTAAGTACATATTCACTAATTTAGTTTGGGTTGTCAAAACTGTAGACTTGAGACCTAGTATTACTCAAATTCAAATTGAATTGGTTTTTTTTGTCCCCTCAAACCTACACTAATACTTAAAGTTGATCGAATATTGAATACTAGTGATAATCCGTGTCTGAAGACATGACAGAACAAAAAATTCGAGTCCTAAAAAATCGATATCACTATATTAAATAATAATTTTTCTTTCTTCATTTATTTGATTAAATCATTCAAAATTTATTTTTACCCATTATTTTCTTTATGATATTGACAAATTTTTTCAAAATATGTAATTCGATAAATTTTTTTAACAAATTCATATTATCGTGTATGGATAATATCTGAAATAAAAATTATGTTAAATTATAAGTTAATCAAATATTAAATGATTGAATATGTGATAGTAATGAGTGAAGTAATGGTTTTGGAGGGGGGAAATGTATACGGGATAAAATTCAACTTCCTATATGTTTTATTATATAGATTTGTATAGATGTAAGGAAAAATTTCATCCAAATCTCCTTTAGTTATGTTTAAATTCAATAATATCTCATTCCGATTTTGAATTTCACTATCACTCCCTATTAGATTTTGTTGAGTTATATCGCTAATGGTAATGGATGATTTATAGAAATATCCCCGAGTATTTTATAGGGTAAATTTTATCCACACCTTTTATAAATAAATCTAACTTTAACAACACCCCTTATAAATAGACCTAATTTTAACAACACCCTCTCTTTATTATGAAATTTCAATGTCTCATTTTTAGTTCTATTACATTAGCTTTTATTTTAGTCAATTTAATATTTAATTTTATCAAATTAATTTTCTTTATTTAATTTAAACTAAATTAACATTTCATGTCATTGAATCAATACAAAATTGATATTTAATTTTATCAAATTAGCATTTAGTTTTATTAATTTAATATTTCATTTCATCAAATTAATATTTTTTTCTTTAATTCAATATTAAATTATTATTTATTTTTATCAAATGGACATTGAATTTTATTAAATTAAACTATTTAATTTATTAAATAGAATATTAAATTCCATTAATTTAAAATTTAACCTTATCAAATTAATGTCATTTATTTAATTTAACACCAAATGAACATTTAATTTTATTAAAAAAATATTCAAATTTAGTCAATTAAAATTAAATTCAATCAAATTAAAACTAAATTAATATTTAAATTTATCAAAATTAAGATCAAATTTATTCAATTAATATAAATTTTATCAAATAATTTTAAATTTTATATATGAAGTATGATGTGTGAGGAGCGGTCGGACGATGTTGTGGAGGACATATTATAGCAGAGAAAATAGAAATGGATGAGATTTTGACATTGACTTTATCGATTGTAATTTTTATTATAGAAAAATTATTTTTAACTATAAAAATTATTATGATTAAAAAATATAAAAATTATAAAAAATTTGATTATGTAACCAAATAAGTGATAATATGATGACTAATATTATAATAAAATTATAATACAACGTTTTAAAATAAAAAATTTATTGGAATAATATAATGATTGAAATTACGTTTGTTGACTGACTAACGCATATATAATGGGGAAAGAATTGATAACATTTTAGTTTTATTTACATAATAAAGGATAATTTTAGTATTTTCACAAAATATTTAGTTAAATCATTATTTTATCTACTGATAGAGATAAAAATTATTGTTACAAGGGTTGTCATTGAATTCATACTCTACTACATGGTGTTTAGATGAAACTTTCCCTAGATATAACATGTAAATATAGTATGTATTCTATCTTTATACTATATATATGTACAGTAAAGATGTGTATGTGATATGAACAGTAAAGATGAAGAGTAGTTGCATTATGATAAAATTTTGGGGAGACATGTCTCTCAGTTTGGAAAGAGAATCATAAAAGATGAAAGTGTGAGAGACAGTCAATGTCTCAGTATAGAAAGTAATCCCTTAACATAGGAAATAAAATCAGGGAAATAATGATAAGAATTGTAATCTGTATTTTAGGGAGAGAGAGAGAGAGAGAGAGACAAAGTTGAGGAATGAGAGATCACTTAATTGCCGAATTTGATTGAGTTGAGGAATTAAATTTAGGGATGTTAGGTTTGAAAACTAAAAATTTTGAGCGGCAAAAAATTTCAAAAGCTAATATGGTACATCGGATCGAAATGATTTGAAACGTTAATAGTTTGACACAGTTTAAAATATCTTTGATCGTTGGGTGATATTTTTTTTGATTTCAAAATAATATGAATCACTCTTTGTCTCTTGAATTCAAAACCGTTTAACTTTATCATATAGGTTTTTGGATTGAAAATTGGGTAAGTTACACCACTACGTGTGCTTTAGGTCCCAACATATACGGAGACGATTGGTTTTGAATGGGCATCCCATCATGGAGACCAACTTCTGGAACTTGGAAAGGATCAGTTTGAGGATCTTTTTATTAATTTTTCGGTTTATCCAGAGGTTATTTGTCTCTTCAGCTAGTTTTGATGTTCGTATGTTTATTCGATTTCAGACGACATATTCCAACCAAGTGGCTTAGACGTAGAAGCTTTGACATAATTACAAAAAGCATATGATGTCAATTGTCAAAAGGAATCTTAGTTTCTCATTTTTTTTTCTACCGTCTTATTATATGGTTGGCAGGTGGCTCTAATCAAGTTCCACCAAACTATCATAAGATATACGGTTCAAGTACTGTTAGTTAAATACTCAATCCCAATAGGTCTAGTTCCGGTGATTACAAAGATAAATTATAAATCTAAACGTTATGAATTTGAATATTGGTAATTTCTTGAAGTTAGGTCATGAATGATTTATTCTTCATGAATATCTTAATTTCAACGTAAATGATCTGCGTTTGATTAGACCGAAGAGGGAATTAGTCGAGATATGTATAAACTGATCTGAACACCCTGATAGTTGAACCTAAAAAAAAAAAATACTAGCAACAATTTTGTGGGATGCACAAAAATTATATCCCATAACATTCTATTATCTCTTTCGGTATCTTTTCCTCCCTCTTAGATCACCATTTAATTATAAAAATTTGAGGCTTGTGGAATTATTAGTTAGCGGTGGAGTGGATATACCACATGGCAAAATGTAATTGGATTGAATGCATGAAACATAAATTCAAATTTTAAAAATTAACAGAATAGGGAGGGAAAGGTCTCCCAAGTTCTCTCTCACCTAATTTGTTTGCAATATAATATAATATAATTAATAAAATAGGTTTATAAGTTGGTTCTCCAACCCACCAATTCTCATACACAGCACAAAAATAAAATAAAATAAAATAAAATTGAATGGCAGAATTTTCATTATGTTTTAATTTAGTCCTTACTTTAAAATTCACCAATTTATTATGGCTGAATGACTTTTATTAACTAACACGTAACTTGGATAAAAAAGTTATATATGTTTGGTAAAAAAATCTTTTAAGTGGAAGATATAAAATCTTACTTTATTTTATCTGATTTGGAAAAGAAGAAGACAATATTTAGAATTTTTACCACGGGTCAAATCTTAAGGCTCCCTCCAATAATATTCTACCACGGGTCATTTAGTTTTTTTTTTATATGAGTTTATAGTACTATTTGATCATGAATCCTTGAACTTAATAAATTATACCTTTTCAATAAATATAATTATCATATGAAAGATAGGACTCTCTCTACTGGATTACTATTACCAAAGGCTTTAGGAGTAAAAAAATGTAGTCCAATGGGGAATAGTTTGGATGTCAATTGGTTTACTTCACTTCACCATCTGGTTGAGGAAAAAGTCCACTTGGTAAGGAACGTAACTCAATAAAATGGCCATAAAGTTGATTCATGCCTGGTAACGTACGTGGTAGCAATGCCCCACCCCCATAGACAAAAAGAAGATTTCATTACTTCACCCCCCTCCCCCTCCCCCTCCCCCTCCCCCACCAAAAATAAACAATTTCAACTAATAATCCAAACAAACCTTCTCTCCATCACCTCCCCTCCTCTCCTCTCGCGGCAAGTTCGTAGATTACAAAGCTTCCCTCTCCGATCATTAGCCATTCATTTTCAAGGTAGAATTAATTGAAGCAGTCAAAGGGAGGGAGAAATAGAATAGACTAGAGGAGGGAGGCTCATGTTTGCCATCAGTTTGGTGGTGTTGTTTTTCGTAATTAGTGGGATTTGCTTATTTCTCCTAATTCTTCGATTATTTCTGTATCGAACTGCTCTAATTCATGTTGTAAACAAATGGGTGCACTGGATAGAAGATGGAATGCACGTCCACCAGATCTTCAAGGTTCCAGAATTCAACCACGACAACTTCCAAGAGAATCAATTCTATGGGCAAGTTTTCACTTACTTGAATTCTTTAGCTTCCATTGAAAACTCCGACTTCACCAACCTCTTCTCCGGCAAAAAATCCAATGATATCATCCTATACCTCGACCATAATCAGACTATTCACGACACCTTTCTCGGAGCCAGAGTTTCCTGGAAAAACGAGGTCAATGATCAGAAATTAGGTGAAGATCAAAGCTGCTGCAGAAGAACTTTGTTGTTGAAGATCAAAAAGAAGGACAAGCGTCGAATTCTTCGACCCTATCTTCAGCATATCCACAACGCTGTTTCAGAAGATTTACAACAACGGAAGAGAGAAGTGAAGCTTTATATGAATACGCAGTATGATCATCGAATCAACGGACGATGGAATTCTATTCCGTTTACACATCCTTCCACGTTCGACACCATGGCAATGGACTCTGATCTGAAATATAGGATCAAGTCCGATCTCGAGTCATTTCTTAAATCGAAGCAGTATTATCACAGGCTCGGCCGCATTTGGAAACGAAGCTATCTTCTATATGGTCCCTCCGGTACCGGGAAATCCAGCTTCGTCGCTGCCATGGCAAAATTGCTAAACTACGACGTCTACGAAATCGATTTATCAAGAGTTGCAGATGATTCTGACCTCAAGATGCTTCTATTACAAACATCAAACAAATCGGTAATCGTGATCGAAGACCTTGATCGGTTCATGAACGATAATAAATCAGTAAGGGGGGTGAGCTTCTCAGGAGTTTCAACTTTCATGGATGGAATTTTGAGTTCGTGTCGTGGTGATGAGAAAATCATGATCTTCACAATGAACAGCAAAGACAAGATCGATTCATCGTTATTAAGGCCGGGAAGAATTGATGTTCATATATATTTTCCAATGTGTAATTTTAATTCCTTTAAGAGTTTAGCAAATAGCTATTTGGGGATCAGGGACCACAAATTGTTTCCACGAGTGGAGGAGATTTTTCAGACCGGAGCAACGATGAGTCCGGCGGAGGTCGGAGAGATCATGATTGTCAACCGGAGCTCGCCCAGCAGAGCGCTGAAGTCGGTGATCACGGCGTTGCAAACTAACGCTGCGACGGGGTGGCGATTGAGCGAGAGCGCATCGTCGAGGCCTTCGGCGGAGGAATCAGGCGGTGAATCCGGTGGCGTGTTTTGGAAGGACAAGGACAGTGTCCCAGTGGCGAAGGAGGTTCGGAAATTGTACGGTTTACTGAGGTTGAAGAGCGGTAAAATATCTGGGCCGTCGGGTCATGATTCCGAGATGATCGAACGGTGACAATGTTATGGAATTCAAGGAGCTGAGGCTGTTAGTTGGTTGGTTGGTTGTTGGTTGGGTCAATTGCTCGGTGTAACATACATCTCTTTTCATAATTTTTCGTGCTTTTTTTTTAAAAAAAAATTTGTTAGGCTTTTTATTTCGTGTTTTTCTTGAATTTATGGTTCAGTCCTATGGGGCAGGTAGACGAAAGCATTAGCTTTAGGTAAATTCTAGGAATGAATCAATTTGTTTACTTATCAATTATTGGGGTTGAATGAAGAATTGAGAGATGTGTAGTGTAGTGTAGTGTGCTAGAAAATATGTAAAATAATGTATCTGAATCATTCATTAGTATGCATTCAATTCAATACTAGACTAGGAGACTGCCAGCCTATGAAAATGTATATATATTTATATAATAAAATAAGATATTGTTTGAATTTTATCTTAGTCATATTTTTTTTTTAAAATCATCATCAATCACTTATGTCACCCATCATCCCTTTATAAGACTTAAACGTCAAATCACATCACTCATTTCTATCACATATTTAATTATTTATATATTTCATTCCTAAAGATATTACACAACTCATTTTTATTATATATTAATTATTATTTAATTAATTTACAATTAATATATTTTGAAAAAATTTAATCTAGTGAGAACGATTTTTTGGACACTCGAATTTTATATTTTATTGTACTTTCTGACACGAGTTATGACTAATATATCTATATATATTCTAGATTCCCGAAGATGATGACATAAGATTCTGTATGCTACTTAAGAACTTGTGCGTTTATCCCCATTATACATAGTTAGTGCTAAGTGGTTGTTTATTCTTTCATTGATACCACGACAACAAGATTGATCTTTATAATTTATTGGAGTATATATACGTGTATATTTTACACACATAATAATGAAGTTTTATGGCGGCTAAAATTGATTTGAAACAAATATATTATGAAGAATTTGTTCCTTTATCTAGGCAAAAATAATTTGAGAGAATGAGAATGATACACAACTTAAATGAAACTTCAAAAGTATAACTCAAATACATATTATTTTTTGGATGAATGTTGAATAAGTAGTTCTCACTAAAAAATTGATGGAACTCACTTATTTAAGGTATAATATGTATTTGAGTTTTAATTTTTTTGGATATTGATGGTGTTAACAAGTAGATGAGCAGAATGTGTAAACTACACAGATAAGCTAGGGTCTAAGTGCTACAAAGTTGGTGTGGATTATGATTAGGTTTTTTGAGAGTTGAGATGACTTGCATAGTGGAAGTATAGTGGTTCACCAAGTTGGGAACTCGGCTAGTCCACTCTTAAAGGAAGTCTCTTGCTCATTGGATCTATATTAATCATTTCTATGAATTACATAGTGTTTTTCATACAATTGGGGTTCCTCTCCCCTCGATGGAGACACTATTCAGTATTTATAGTCGATTCCTATCTCTAGGGGATCTGCAGCGAGATCTTAGCCTTGATCTTGAGGATTTCCCTTAATTTTGGGAGAGGATCTTGGGTGGTTGAGAGTTTCACGTCTTGATTACTGTCTTTTGTTGTTTTGGAGATGCCTCTTGTTAGCTAGTTGTTCCTTTCTCATCCCATTTACTCTTTTATCTTAAAGGAGTTCGAGGTCTGGGTCTCTGAGCTCTGAGTTCCTTATCTGACCTCCCTTCCCGAGCTCGTACTTAGTTAAAATCTTCTTCATGTATCATCAGATTTCTTTTGCATTGTATAGCATTAGTACTTGTGAGAGAATTCAACAAAAACTTGCATTGGATATATATAAAATGGTATTATGGTTGAACTAGTTTCTCCAATTCAATCCGAGCTGGTTGGGAAGTTCAGTTATAGAGTGACGCATGACAATGGCTAGCTCTTCTCTTGGGGAAAAATTTCTAATATTACACTTAATACGCATTCTTAGGTTTGTCCATTATTTTGATATTATATTGGGGGAGAGAGAGAGAGAGAGGGAGAACTTTCTGAGAGATGTTGGATGTTTTTGTGCAATGTTCACGCATATTCCTCAGACCTGAACTTAGAAAACTGAACATAATGTTCAAAACGAGCGTCTTACACACCACAAAAAATGGAGTGTTGGGTGGGTTTGTGGGAGGGGGGGGAGTGGAGTATAAGTCGACTCTTTGCGATGTTGATTTATAGGTATTGTATGTTTCGTTTCCAAGTTGGAAAGCAAAGGAGTACTGCCTTACTTTGTTATAATAAATCATTGGCCATGATGTACATGACTTTTAGAGTGAAAAGTTGAGTTGTCTTGCTTGTCTTTGTAGTTTCAGGCACAAAATCAACAACTATAATCTAAGCAAATGTGACGTGTGCGTATTGTAATTTACTGGCAATGGCATGATTTTGTCCCAGACTGAGAAACACAGCCACAGAAAAGATCACTCAGAGCCAAAGTTGGCAAAATTTCACCATCACACCACCACCCACCAAAGTGGTTTGGACCTGATGCCTGATATATGTATATCAAAGCTCATCCCTTGTGTCACATTCTGCAGGTAACAAAGGAAGGTGATGGAACTATCAGTAATTTAACTGGTATGTCGAAGGGTAGTTGTGGAGTTGTGAATTCGGTGCCCAGTGCTCGGGATGCAGCAACTAAACGACTTTTAGAGAGAGAAATTCATAAGTATATTAACTTTTGCGGGACTATTGGGCTTTAGATTGGACCTAAGTAATGAGCAAAGTCTGGTCTATCTTTTGGTGGTTTGGGCTCAACCCATAAACCGGGTCTAAGCCTAGTTTGAATCTAGGCTCATCAATAGTTTTTTTTTTTGGGAAAGTAGCTCATAATTATAGTTGAATTTGCTTCAAAGCATGGCAAACAGATGATGGTAGAATAGTTATTTACAACAAATTAAAGTTGACTCTACACCAACCATACAAATTAAAACACTGATGGATTTGGTATTACCCTTGTGAAAGATGTCAATTCATGTGGTAACAATGAAGTGTCTAATTATTGGTGTTTACTTGTTGTCGAAATGGCAGACATATAATGTTTTCTGCTCTGCCAAATGGGAGATTTATTGGTTGGTAATGTAAAGATCTTCTTTCCTTTTTAATATTTGGTGTGATGAGCAAAGGCTTGTTAAATATTATTCTATTCTACGTGCTTGTACACCCACAACATTATTAACTTCATTATTATTCTATTCAATTCAATTCAATTCATGACATAAGGATTGAGTAAGTCCAATATACCCCTACTGTTAGCTCAAGAGCTAATTAACCAATGACGACCCCACCCCACTTCACTTTGCAGATGCTGGATTAAGGCCCATAGACCTTTAATTAATTAATTAATAGTGATATTAGTATCTCAACTGTATGTGGATTTATAAATACAACACACAGGGTGAGTAATCACCATCACCTATTTCCATTACTAACATTCATATTTGCGAAAAATAAATTAAGGAACCGATGTTTTTTATGCGCGGTGATTTTTGCACAGTAAATAAAATAGGAATACATCTCTCCCCGGATGAATTCGTGTTCGTCGAAAAGGTGATGGATCTTGCAACAAGGAATGAGTTGAGAGGGTCAAAGGAGGCCTAAGGAGTGGTGATGAATTGCCCCAGGAGCTGTCCAACCAATTCTTGTGGGCCGCAGGATGCTCCTAACACATAGAAAATAAGTTAGAAGGGTGTTGAAGTGTTTTTCGACTTATCCCTTCCGACGATCAAGTCAATTCTTTGAAAGAGAGGAAAAAGAAAACATTGTATTGCTCTTGAGTAATTAATGTTCTTTCTTCAATACAAAAACTTTAAATGTTCGGAACTCAGAGCATTTAATACTCCACACCCTCGGTTTTTCAAGCTTACTATGGATGTCACATCACTGAGAATTCATTAAATGTTTGTCTGGGATAACCATAAATCAACAAGGGCATTTTTGTCTTTTTACCCTTAATTCTGCATTTTATGCCACATGTCTAACTCCCCTTGGCTGAGTGTCTTGTTAACTCTGTCATCCTAATTTTATTGTACAGAGCATCACCACCATCCCTAGTCTAGCTACGATTGACAAGCTATCAATTAGTAGTTGTCAATCAATAACCTTTTCAAAAGTAGGATACACGTGGTGGGACCAGAATTCCAACAAGTACGCTTGGAGCCGAGGACATGCGATTGCTCAAGGGGGAGATACCTTGGAGCCGAGGACATGAGTCTATCATACCTCGGGGTGGAGGTACCCTCGTAGCTAGAAACAAGTGACATCGGAGCCTATGACACATGTTTTCACAAGAGTAGAAGACGGGGCCCCTGTGCCAAGGACACATGTTCTAATCAGAATGAAGGGGAGTACTCTCGACGCCGAAAACACGTGTTAGCAATCTACTTCTTTCTCAGGAGTGTCCCATAGAATTAGACCAAATTCATATGACATCCCTTATTACAAATTTGAAAAATGCATTTATACCCCTCTATTATCCCTTTGACATATAAATAAGCATCATATCAATTATTATTTTTTTTTTAGGAGGGGAGGGGGGTGGGGCTGGGGCTGGGGCTGGGGGGTGCATTTACTTGGTGTATACAAAAGATATGACCAATTTTTTTCACATAAATTGAACACACTATAAATACACTCATCACTCTTCTTCATTCCTTAAAAACACAATTGACAGGAAGATTAAATCAAGTTCCACGAGTAACAAACTCCACTCTGTATCTCTTATTTGACTTTAAGATCAACAAGAGCAAGCAGATAATTTCTTCATCTCACTAACTTCAAAATCCGAGCCCGATATGACATCGATTTTCAATCCTCTAGGCAAGCCCGCATTGCTATCATTGGATTTTCCATTGTCGCAATCCAAGGCCCTCTTGGAGACCACACTGTGTATCTCTTCTAGCAGTTTAAAGAATGCAGATTCCACATTGTCACCACTGAGAGCTGATGTCTCAGAGAAGAACAGGCCCTGATTCTCTGCAAACTCCATAGCATCCTCCATTGGAACTGCCCTCAGATCCACAAGATCAGCTTTGTTTCCAATCAGAATGATCACGATCGAACTATCCGCATGGGCCCGCAGTTCTTCCACCCATCTGGCTACGTGATCAAAGCTTTGTCGCTTGGTGATGTCGTATACCAGCATGGCCCCAAGTGCTCCTCTGTAGTATGCACTTGTCACTGCTCGGTACCTACAAAATATTAGTTTCAATTCAAGACCATAAGAAAGAATAATGACACTTGTTTGTTTTTAAATTGGTAACTTAATTTGACAACTTTTAATGCATTGGATTAGATTTACAAGGTGAGAAGTTGAACCACAGGCTCAGTAGTTCCCACCCTTGGGCCATCAATAAATATGTTTGGCACCCCTTCCAACCACAACTTAC